AGACTTGACCAATGCACATCAAGACTTCTTGCCCTGATGAAGGCCATGGGAGGTGTTGTGGGGACCAACTGAGGCCATTTCTGGACAAACTGAGTCAGGTGTGTTTGATCAAAAGTGTGCTTGTTCACATTTTTTGAAATAAGATATACTTAATGTATTTCTCATGCATGCATGTACATTTATTGTATAGCTTTTAATACAATATAGATTGCATTAAAGTAGCTTTACTGTATTAAACAGACAAAAGTCAAAAGTTCTGAAATTTCAGTAATTAGAATTTTAGTCATAAATTACAACTTAAATTTCAAATATTAAGAATCTGTACTGAAGAATGAAGATGGTAGAGTTTCAGCGACAGTTCTGCTTTGGCCAAAATGCAAGGCAGACAGGAACAGGAAGTAGTGTCACTTTACTCCAAGTACTCAAATCAGTCCTTGCGCATGAATGCTTTTGTGTTCTCACTTGATTTCATTGAGTTCATTGTGTATGAATAAAAGGTTGTGTAATGGTACAATATAAATCTGTTCACAGACACAAAGCCTTGAGATGGGAATCAGTTATCCGCAGCCTCATTCTCTACTTTGATGATAAAGACGATGATAAACTGTGTTTTGAAGATGAACAGAGTTCTGACGGGCTCGGGACGGCATGAGGGTGAGTCATTAATGACATCATTTTCATTTTCACAATCACGAAACGTCGCCATGGAAATAAAAAGAAGATGTATATTAAAATGAAAGTCGCACACTGGGTGGTCAGCTAGAATATTTTAAAGTTGCGTGTGAAAGGTTAAACAGAGTCAAATTTATTTCACAGAAAACTGCACTCCAGTTTATAGCACCCTAAAAAGGATAGTTCACCCAAAAATTAAAATTGTCATTGTTTACATTGTGTAAACATTGTTTACACTCAAGTTGTTCCAAACCGTTGTGAGTTTATTTCTTCTGATGAACACAAACAAAGATATTTTAAAAGAATGTTGGTAATCAAATGACGGCAGCCATTGACTTCCATAGTAGATTTCTAATGGCTAGTCAACTGTTTGATATCCCATTTTCTTCAAAATAAAATGTATGTATGATATACTGTCCTTGTCCAGAAAACGTAATATAGACATCATCAAAGTAGTCATGCAGTGACTCAATTTTAAGTTTATAAAGCGGCGAGAATACTTTTTGTGCGCAAACATAATGACTTTATTCCACTATTCGTTTCCTTTTCTGTGGGCTTCTCTACAGTCTTTTTACGTGCGTAGCACATCTGTGTTGTACGTCACATGACCAGTGTCGGCCAATAGTGAGTTAACGTGGTGACGTGCAGGACAGACACGCTGCGCTATTACACTACATGAAAAAACTCCAGGCCCAGAGAGAAGGAAATGAATAGTGGAATAAAGCCGTTATTTTATTTTAATTTTTGCACTCAAAAAGTATTCTCGTCGATTGATAAATTTAAGATTGAGCCACTGTAGTCAGTTGGACTATATTAACGGTGTCTTTAAAGGACAAGTTCGGTATTTCTCTATTTCATCAGGGACGATCTTGAAACAGGGCTTTAATTGTAAAATACCGAACTTGTCCTTTAATGCAAGTCAAATAAAATAATTTAAGCCATTATATTTTTGTTTCTCAAAAGAATTATATTTTTTCTTCTAAATTGTATGCAGGAGGACAGCGGCAGTGACATCACTCAGCACAGCATTAAAATACTGGTCGTTCTTGGTGCTGATGGAGAAGATCCAATCGATGGAAGCAGCAATACCGTAAAGACAGTTTTACTGAATGCACCTGTGTCAAGAGATGACTGAATGTCCATTCTTGTATGAACATTTTTGATGACTAAAAAATAAACTGTTTAATTGAAATTTAGTTGTGTGATTTGTGAAAAATATTGAGAAAATGATTATTTATTTATGTTCATGATTATTTATAAAAAATAAATTATCAATGTTTAAATATGTAGTAAATGAAAATCTCAACAAAAAAACTTAAATAATATCTACTTATTTTACTTCGTTAAATGGTAAGATTAACTTAAAAATTTCATAAAAGCAAGCTTCCTAATTTAAAAAAAAATAAATAAACTTTACTTAATTACTTTAAATAGATATAGCTTCTAAATGAAATGTAAATGGGTATTTTTTACTTAATTTCTTCATGAGAGTTTTGTTCAATACTAAGTAGATTTTACTTGATAATGGCACGCGAGTTGTACTTAATATTATAGCAGTAAAATTTACTTAAAATTTACTTGTGCAAATTGTTACGAGGATTTTATTAAGTAAATCTTACAAGTAGTTTTTGTAAGATTTGTAAGATCTCTGCTGGCTGTAGCACACTGCCCTCTGCTGGATGCAACACACTGCCCTCTGCTGGCTCTAACGCACTGCCCTCTGCTGGCTGTTGTTTGCTATTTTTGGATTATTTGGCCTGAATGCAGAAACACAATGAATGAACAACAAAATAACAACATACATTGAATTTCACTAATTATCCATATAAAACCCAACCCAAGCTCAAAAGAAACTAGAAAAGGTTCAAAAGATAAAATAACTCTTCATAAAATAATTTGAATGCATTAACTAATGCATCTTATGGTGCTTTCTTTCATCTCATGAATAATTGTAACCAAACTGAATGTGCATAACTTTGGTTACAATTATTCAAAAAAAAAAAAAAAAATTTAGAAATTGATCCTCTGTTGACAAAATTTCCACCATAAAAAATTACCGTTTCTAAAAAGGGTTTTAAAGCTGATCTATGGTCATATTGAAGTGTGTGTAAACAGAAGACAAACTTTGATGTCGACTTGACAAAGCTTTGTATGAAAGTTTGAAATAAAATAAAAAGCTTGAAGTTTGAAGATTTTACTCAAAAAAGTCAAATGAATGAACGAAAGGAACAGGTGAATGTTGACTCAGAATCACACCTGTGTCGTCATCATCATCATCATCGTCATTACTTGTGTCTCAGAGAAAAATACAGTCAGAAATAATTAGATCCAACGAAATATGCTTTTAATACTCATACACTTAGATTTATAAAAGAGATTTGTGAGTAGCAGCAACATTTAATATAATCGTTTAAAACTGATTTCAAGCATTTTAGCAAGAAGTTTTTTTAAATAAAATGTTGCAAAAGATCATGATTAACTTGAGTCTGAAAACTGAGATGAAACAGCGTATGTGTCCTGGACACTCACAGTGAGATTATCATTCATGTTGTTCATATTTATATTCAGTTCTCCAAGGCAATGAAGCAGCAAATCTGACAAAGTTGAAACTCTTGAGGTGAACAGCAGGAGGCGCTGTAGGAAACTGTTCAGGTGAGCAGCAGGAGGAACTGTTGATAAACTCTTCAGGTGAACAGCAGGAGGCGCTGTTGATAAACTCTTGAGGTGAACAGCAGGAGGAACTGTTGATAAACTCTTCAGGTGAACAGCAGGAGGCGCTGTTGATAAACTCTTGAGGTGAACAGCAGGAGGCGCTGTGATAAACTCTTCAGATGAACAGCAGGAGGCGCTGTTGATAAACTCTTCAGATGAACAGCAGGAGGCGCTGTTGATAAACTCTTCAGATGAACACCAGGAGGCGCTGTCGGACCAGAAGTTTCATTCAGTGAAAAAAACAAGGTCAGATAACTTCCCTCAGCAGATTCAGGAAATATTATTGAAATAGCACTTTGTTGTCATCTATGAATTACAGAAGTGACACAATTTTGTAACAGTTGTAGGTTCGATGCCATTATAATTAATATTTATTGTGACTTTTATGGATCAAACTGATTGAACTCACAAACAAAGGTATATTTTGAGAATATAGTGTATACAGTAATGACTCTTTCAGATGTTTATGTTTGTGCTTTTGGAAAATAATCTCTGTCTGTTTGGTATTATGCACTTTTTTATTATTCCAAAGCATTTTTTAAATATTTAAAAAAAAATCTTTCTGGAAATGTAATTGTTGCAAGTGCAAATGTTTCACGCAGATAAAAGACTGTATTACTTTATTCTGACACAACTACTGAAGCCCTTCTTGTTGAGTTATAGACTATATATGATCTTGTTTGCGCAGTATTTACAATAATGGTTGTGTATTTTTAAAACCATTTTTTTCAGTGTTTAATGAGTTTGAGTCATAAATCTCCACTTCAGCAGCTTTACAGGTTTATTCATTTCAATATTCTGAAGGTTTGTCCACATATTTTATTCCTGGAAAGAGAAAACCTGAATCCCCAAAAACCTTTAACTGGAATATCTTGACAGAATCAAACAG